CTTTTTAATATTCTATACGACTTCACTTCATACAGTTGGTCATATAATTTTTCAGCTACTTTTCAAAATATGTTGCAATAGCGTTTGGTGTAGTAAATTTCATCGGACGGATAAGCTTAGATCCATTCATGACGTGATTCGGAATTGACCGACATAATGAAAAATGCGTCTGCTTTAAGTTGTTTTACGCGTGGCATACATCCGCAATAATTTAATATACCCCAGTCCCCCCAAGCGGTGCAAGGTATAAACACAAAAAAACAAAAATATTTCTATCGAAATATGTTGATAATTTTCCCTTTTTAACGTGGGGCATACAATAGCGGAAGATCAGGTAACAAATCTTTGTTTTTGTCTTATGCAGCCACTACTTTCGATAAATGCATAAAAATCGCTTTGGCTAAGCGATGTAATGAGAATCAGTCGTACTAGACCGTGCATTATTTCAAAGCTATGCGCGACTTCTGCGAAGCACCCTGCTCACCCTGCTTTCATTTTTCACGTACTCATATCGCTTCGCACCAATGATACTCAGTTTTTTTAAATTAATCAAAAGTTTGCGCTCTAGTCAAACTGCAGTGACCCTCGTTTTGACCTAATCGACGAGATGAAATCAAATTGAAAAAAGTTTTATTTATTGATTTTTTATATCTTTATTTACATGTGGAATCCAGTTGAAATATAATAATAGTCGAACTAAGGAAACTCTTAGAAATTAATCTTATGCTAAATCTTGTGGTTAGGAGTTAACACTGAAAGCCCGAAATATACGGAAAGAATAAAGAGAACAATAACACTGTATAAATAAAAAGTAAGTAAAGTAAGTAAAAGAGATAGAAAGGATGTACACCTCTGGCACAGAGCCATATTTGCAGTCGCTATATAGCCGGAGCGGCGAACGACCTCTTAAACTAATGCAACTATGCAAAAGCTTAGCAATCGATGACAATTAACGTATCTGGCTGAGATTGCTGATCATGCACAGCTTTAAAGATTAAAAGTTAGTTGAGATATGACGTAAGCAAAGCATGCATATTCAGAAGAATTTATTTAATGGTATTTAAGAAGGAGACATTGAAACTCAATTATAGATATCATATAGGTTTCTAGAAAGGACTCTAAACGTGTTGAAAAGCTCATAACATTGATCCGAGTCTTATGAAAATTAAAGTTCCCACAAAATAGAGAGAGAGAAAGCGATAGAAAATGAATGGAAGCATTGAGATTTATCTCTTTTAATAAAGCCGGCAAGCGAATCAACAACATCATTTAATTACCTTCACTGAGAGAAGCAGATATCAAGGATAAAGTTCATGTCTCCAGTGAAGGAAGGATTAACAGTAACAATCTAATTGCATATGGTAGGCGAAGAGACTAACATATCCCCTCCCAAATTCCCAAGGGCGAAGAGCAAGAGTTGCTTTTGAACTGTTCTCATTGATTCGGCAAAACACCTGTAGAAAGGGAACCACACGGGTAAGGTATTTTCAAATATTGGTCTTACCGAACATACGTATAATCCTTTTGTAACATATGAGTCGCCAGACGCCGTTTAAAAGGACCTAGCGTTAACCTAGCTTCGCTTAAGGTTAGTTCTATGTGCAAAGCCATCTCTCTTTAAGAACGAAAGCTTCTTGCAATTTTTTTTTTGGTTTAGGTTAGGTTACGTAAAATACATATGTGAATAAATAATTTATTTACATAAATATATATTTTCACTATACTTGCTAAAAAAGCGAATATCGGTTAAGAAGATTCTAGTCGGGCAACGTGAACCATTGCATACACACTACGCCACTTAGCCTTTGGTAATAATACACAAAAAAGTGCACATTACTTGATAACGCCTATATATGTTAGAAACCAAAAAAATAAATCTATATGATCCAAACTGCCTACCGTTAATTTTTGCGCTCATTTGCTCCTATTAATTAATTCTCATCATAAAATATAAAAAACTGAACCTTTTTACGAAAGGCTTACTACTCATGAGATATTTTATATGGAAGGGGGCAAAGAAATGGACTCATGTGGTGCAAATTAGATCCACTTCATTTTTATATTAAGTGAATATCATGAACAAATTTTCATAACAAAAAAATAAACATTTAGGCCTTTTTGGCATACAAGTGTTTACTTTCCATGAGAAGCCTTATAGGCCTACGTTGTCCAAATTCTATACGATTGATTCCTTCGATAATTTACTATGATGAGCCCGTTTGCATAATGCAATATTGAAAATTCGACATTTTTGTCACATACAGATTCAGTTTTCGTAGAATTGGTTATGTGAGAGGGTGTTCAAAAAATTATCACTGCCGGTCCAAAGTTTTCACACCAATTTACAATGTTGACATGCTATTAGTTGTGGTGAAATTTTAAAAGTTGCAATTATAAAACTTCAGAATAGGGCGTTATATTGGGAGTGGTCGAAAAAGTGAACTGATCCGAACCATTTTCAATAGCGTTCGACCTTGGTCAGTGTACCAAATTTCAACAAAATATCTCAAAAGTTGGGATCTGTAACTTGAACAGAAATCTACATGGACAGACACCAGACGGACAGATAGACAGAAAATGATGCCGAATCGATCGATATAATAAAAGGTGCGTCTATCTTAACATCTTGAGTGTATTATATACGTCCGCACTAACTTAATATACTCTGCACCACAAGTAGTGTAGGATATAATCATATTCGGCCGGGACCGAATCTCTTATATCCATCACCGTTGTCCCAAAAAAAGGAAAAAGCACTGGATTACCAAACTCTAATAGTGGATGGATGCGGCGGATTTTTTTTTTTTTCTCTTTTCAGAATACAAGAGAAAATTGTTATGGTGACCGTTTTTTACTTTTTGAATGACAAATAAAAAACATGGAAAGCAAAGATGTACACAGTTTCTGTTGAATAGACGTGTGGGTGTTGTAGGCGTATCCTTTGACCGGTTTGGATCATTTCCAAATGCTTTTGCAGATTTGTGAGCGATATCTTAATTTTCGGTCACGGGAAAGTGTTTACTACAAATAGTATACAGTTGCGCTGACAGACAGATGGACAGACGAACAAACGGACATGTTTGGATGCATTCAAAATTTAAAATTGGCCAAGAATTCGTATACTTTTTGAGGCTGTTGCTGGGGGGAAGCTTGTTTTTGCACTTTCTAAATGTATTGAAAAGAAAATTAAATTTTGATACACTATTATAACGGGTACGCGGGGTCAATTTTTTCCGTTTTAATAAAAAAAAAAAAAAATGCTTTATTTGAAAAGCAGAGATGTTGTAAGTTTATGTCGTGCTGTGGGCGTGTGCTTGAAGCTATTTGGCCCATTTTTAATACCAACCTGCATGCAAGAGCTTCCAGTCTTTTAATCAAGTCGATAGTGGATAGCTTCATTTTTGTGGTCAGTAGAATATTTAAAATACAGACTATATGGACGGACAGACTTGTATGCTCGATTAAATCGATACGATGTTGGTCAAGAATATAAATATTTGAAGGGGTCTTCTGGGTGATGTAAGTGTTTCGACAAAATGAATATTCATCTCATCTCGCACCGGTTTCGCCCCTTAAGTCGTTTCAGTATCAATACTTGTTTTATTGACTTGTGAAATTTCAAGAAATTTTTTGCAAATACATTTGAAAATGTAAAAATTTTAATTATATGATTTCCGATTATATGATCGACTTCCGGAGGATTACTTATTGTTCCTTGGCAAATTTGAATCAAATAAATTTGTTCCTGTTTTTATTGAATGATTAAAGTCAAGTGAGTACTTATTGAGTAGACATGTACTTACTTATGAGTTACTTCGATGTTATATATTGATTACACTGAACTGCAAATAACTAGTTCATAAACACAAATGCGGACGGTATGCTTTATATCTATCATTTATTAGACAAGTAACTTGAAGAAATATTTAGAGCACTTACCTACCTGCTTAATAAGAGAACTTTACTCGCCTCGGAGCGAATCTTAGATACTCATTATGGAAGGTAAATATGTAAAAAGCGGAAGTATATTGTTGTACTTGAGAAGTTATTGATGCGAAAGTAATCTTTTTAGCTTTATTTTTTTTTTTTGCGTGAGGTACTAAACAATTCAAATTCTAATTGGAATTTATTCCAAGTTATTGTTACAATTTCTACTACGACTTTGATCATTCCAACTGTGCCGGATTCAATAGAATGGACAATTTTATATAGAAATGCAATTAAATCGATACCGATCTCAGTTTCAGAGTGTAACAAGTCCATTGATAAATTCAACATATGTCAATGTACTTATCTTTTTGGCGCTATTTGTATAAATAAATATACTTATAACTGTATTGACAACAAAATATTGACAATAAATTAGAATTCTTAGATAAAGCTAATGATAATTTGAAGGCTTATAGACAGTCATAAATTGTAACCTTTAATTAGGCGCGTGGGCCTATTTCGGATTCGGTGCCTATAGTCAGTCAATTGTATAGTTAGCGTTAAGTGTGGTCAGTTCATTTCTATTCGTAATTAATTAGATAAGAATTGATATTGATGTGAAACGATATTCCTAAAAGTGGCGTAACGTTCAACTCATATACTTCGAAATAAACAAATTCCTAACTACTACTATTACTATTAAATATAATGTATGTATGTGTGGTAAACTTAATTAGATTTCAAAATATCAGGTGCTTAGACCTTCTTTTGTTTTTGCTCTTCTTTATTTTTTTTTTGCTTTTTTTTTTTTATTTATATTTATATATAACAATTGTTATAGATTTTCTTTTATCAGATGATCACAATTCGATGGGCACCACATAGATAGACCTTATGCTTGAAGTATGTGGTATTGTTAAGTAAATACAATATTTGTTACAAATAACATTTGCGGCTATATAAAGCAGCATAATAACAGTCTGAAAATTTTATTTTAAAAGTGCACTCTAATAGCGAACGTTAGATTCAAAAGGAAAACAAAAAAAACATTTAAATTATTTCAAGTTGAAAGACGGAATTTTTCTTTCTCTTTCTGTTTTTCCTATTTTTTTTTTTTTTTTTTTCTTTCGTAAAGCGTTCTCGAATAGGCTCTTCTTTGAAGCTCGATGATATTATTCAATATGGCCACTGAGCTGCCAAACTATTTAAATGAAAATTTCTTTAAAACTGCTTTAGAAGATGGTTTACATGATGAATCTGTGGATATTAAGAAAATCATATTATCTGATAATAATTCTGGTGGGGGGGAAAACTATTGCAGTAAAATTTATCGCGCCAAAGCTTTGTATCGTAGCAGTAAAACCCAATTGGATGAGGAGTTGGCACTGATTGTTAAGAGTATCGCCATTACACCGGCCACGCAGTGTCTGGAGGATTTTGCAGTGTATTTGCGTGAAAAAATTTTTTATTTTGACGCTTTGGGCAAATTGGAAATGCTAATAGGCGATAATACGAAGTTTGGAGCAAAGTAAACTTAATTATAACTTTTACCCATGAAGTCTACGAATTTCATGTGATTTTTGCTACTTTACTTAGATGTTTCTATAGTACGTGCGAGCCCATGCAAACAATTGTTTTTGATGATTTAACACAATATGGTTATCGCTTGGCCAGTCGTCAGGATGGACTCGACGAAGGGCATTGTAAGGTTACACTCGAAAAATTGGGTAAATTTCATGCAGCTTCCATGGTGATGGCACATCAAGTGAGTCGAGGCAAAAATTTAAATTTTAATAATAATAAAAAAAAAAATAATAATTTCATTATATCCATCACTGCCAGATAAGGATGCGCTAACATTGCCGTTCCGCTTGCAATGCGCAGAACATACGCGTTAAAAACTCTATAACTTTTGCTCTGCGTAAATTGTTTTGGACATGGTCGTCTATCCTCCCATTTTCTTTCGTTCGTCCGCTGGTTCTAGGCTTTTCCGCTCCGCTAATTTATTAGTCTATTCTTTCAATTGTCTGTCCTTTATATTTTAGTTAATCTATCCATTTGTCTACTTTCTTGTTCCGTTGTCTCTCTATAGTTTTATTCGTGTTACTCACTTTCTGTCAGCTTTCTTGTTCCATTGGCTCTCTGTCGTTTCATTTGTGTTACTGTTCTTCCGTTTGTTTTCTTGTCCCGTCGTCTCTACCTCGTTTTGTTTATATTATTGACTTTCTGTCCGTTTTCTTGTCACATTGTGTCTATACCGTTTCATTGGAGTTATTGTTTTTCCGTTTGCTTCCTTGTCGCGGCGTCTCTCTATCGTTCTATTTATGTCGGCTTATTTGTGTGCCTGAAAGAACTCGTTATTGGCTATTTGAATAATATAAAAGTAAATGTACTCTCAAGTTTAGAAAATATTCAGCAATATACAATCAAAGGAGAAAATTAATATAAAATTTGGTAAAAATATTAAGACGGCCATCTACTCGATATCGAAGAAAGATATATATACACATTTTCCCATTCTCTCTCTCTCTCTCTCTCTCTCGCTCTGTTCCCTCTCAGTATATTGAAAACGCACAAATTATATGCGGCAAAGTGCGTGAGACCAATTGGGAGGCACAAAGAGAAAGCAAGAGAGAGAGAGACAGTAAAATTTCTCGCAGAGATAGTAGCAATCGAACGGCTGAAGTGCGTCCAATTTTGTATATCTTATTTATTTGCTTTAAGTGATGCGCGTCCAAAATTCGTCTTATGATGACTATAACTTTTTTTTTACTCGTTCTTATTAATACAGGATCCCTTTATTAGAGATCATTTTAAGACGGGTATGCTAGATGAGCATTACATTAGAACTAGCGAACGTTTTGTAGATTTCATGACTTTGCAATTGAGAACTTTGGCGAAATTGGTAGCAACTTGGGGCGAAGATTATAAGGAAATAACTGAAAAATTGCATAAACATTGCGATAATATTACCGAAAATTTAGTAAAGACTGGTCAAGCAAAACCGAATGAAATAACGGTATTAAATCATGGCGATTTATGGGTTAATAATTTCATGTTTAAATACGACGAATGCAATAAAAAAAAACCAATTGATGTTGTGTTTGTAAGTATACGATATATTGTGAAGCTTTTCAAACGATAAGCAATTAGTTGTAATTATTTTTTGTTGTTCTTCTTTCATTTTAAAGGTGGACTTCCAACATAGCTTCTTTGGCAGTCCTGGTTGCGATATAAATTTCTTCCTTAATAGCAGTGTACAGTTGAATGTGTTAATGAAATGTCGCGATTCATTGATTGAAAGCTATTACGCAGCGTTCCGCGAATCTTTGCAAAGAATGCAATTCGAGAAAATACCCACTTTGGAAGACATGAAAACGGAGATTACCTCACGCGAACTATATGGTTTCTTTGCTTCTTATTCTTTTCTACCCATGATCGCTATGCGAAAGGAAGATTCTTACGATATCAACCTAGAAACTTTGGCTAGCAAAGAATTTGCCACCAAAAAAGTGAAACTAATGTTTTCATCTAATCACCGAACAACAGATACTTTAAGATATACATTAAAACGTTTCAACGAATTAGGAACACTTGATTGAATATACGATAGATTTTATAAAGTCAATCTGAATAAATCTATGCAATATTATTATTTTAACTCTATTATAATAGATAGTATGGAGGCATCGTAGAAATTTAAGTCAAATATGTTGTGCGTCTATTCTCGAAAAACTTTTTCTGATTTCATTTCAACGGAAATCGCTCGCACGCTATTCTCTGGCACAAGCCATCAATTTTTATATCGATCGCTGAAAACATGGAAGTATGAAACGAACATGGAATGCCCAGAAGAAAACTTCAGAGACCCCACAAAGTATATATCATATCATCAATCGATGTCGCTCCGTCTGGCTGTCCGTTGCAAAAGTGAAGCTACCGCCTTCAAGTTTAGTAGAAACATTACATGTTCTTGTGTGCAGTTCAGAATGAACTGAGAGCGCTACACTTTTCCAAAAAGAATAATATATTGGTTATTTGCTCACAACATTTCAGCAGATAAATGTGAACGAATTGGAAAGTTCATTCTATGGGCGATGTTGTGATACCTGCACCCAATATCATTATTTTTTTTTTTTCAATATCTTTATGGCATGCAAGCATCAAAAAAACCCTCATAAAGTATATAAATTCTTGATCAGTTTTAAATTCGGAGCGCACCTCAGCATGGCCGTCTGCCCAACAATGCAATATCTTTGCTAAACATTCTCCCATTCGCAAAAATGAAGATGTCGCCTACAAAATTTGCAAAAACATATGAAATTGGCCCAAATCGGTCAAAGGATATGCCTACAACACCCACATGCATATGCAATAAAAACTGTGAACACCTTTGCTTTCTGTGTTTTTCGGTTGTTGCTCATAAAGTACACCACACACGCTATTTAAATTTCCACTCTTCATCTCATCCAGACTAGAAAAATTTAGTTCTTTTCCATTTTTTGAAGTCGTTGACGCTTATATAGGATTCGGTTATGAATGAATATAATTTTCGTATTTGTTTGTTATACCGATTGATTCGCGATCACTTTCTGAGACGACCCGAGTTTGTCCGCCTATTTGTCTATTTGCTCATCTGTCTATCCGTCTGCTCCCATGGAATTTTGTGGTCAATTTAGAGATTGCAATTTTTCAAATATTTCGATGAAATTTGGTACGTAGTCGTGTTTTGCGCAAGGAGGAACCCTATGGAAAACGGAATGAATCGGATCAACCCCATTTTCAATCCCTCTCCATAAAACGCCTTATTTTGAACCGTCCTTATTTAAAAAAAAGTTCAACTTTCAAAACCCCTCGACAAACATCGCTGGGTAATACTATTTCGGCAATGTTTTGAGCACCCTTCCTGTATAACCTTTCTTAAAATCCTAATTTTCAATATTTCATGGTATAATATAAATTTGGTCTTAGAAATGCTGATTTACTGAATTTAGACTATAGAGATCGATTTTTTGAATCCTATCTCATATAATAAGGATTCTCGTGGAGGGTACATCGTTATATAACAAAAATCTCCAGTTTATGACACTTTATGATGAAAATAGGTTCATAACGATAACTTCATATATAGTATTTGACGGTACCAAATTTTGATCAAGCAAGTCTACTGTTTTAATACCGTAGCATATAAAAGCTTTCATAAAAGATCAATCCTTATACGTTGAAAAGATTTCACTTTTTTAATACCTTGTGGTAAAAATGTGTCTGTGGAGTAGAAATTGGACAAAAAAAATTAAGCGGACCAAATTTGGATCACCTAAGTTAATTTTTTAAGCCTTTTAAGCTTTCATAAGCGGTCTTATAAAAATTAAGCTCTTAACTTGGAGTTTTTTACGAAGAAAACAGTTTGCAAAACTTTCATATCACATGAGTTGGATTTTTAAGTCATGACCAAAGTGAGCGAACTTGTGAAAGGTATGCTTTCACATGAAAATAATATACAATTGCTGGGGTATAATCTTGAATAAAAAATGAATGAATAATTACGTTCGGCGAAACAATGTAGGTTATCTAATGGTCGCCATTGCCTAATTAAAATGTAATATAGTTTAGATTGTAATTTTTGGAATAGATATTTAGTCGGAAAGACGCTCTCAAGCATGACATATATGACAAACAACAAACGATACATTTATGACGATCTGGCATATATGTAATTAATAAACTCTCGATTGCCTACTGTTGAGCGTTACGCGTGTTAGGATAATCCTAATATGCCAGCACGCTTCAACGTTAACTATAAAAATGTAATTTCCTTATTGTCGAAGTAAAAAGCAACAATGTTTCATATGTAAATAAGAAACACCATAAGTTACTGTCTCTACGTATATATGTAAAAGAAAAAAGCCTGAATAGAGAGTTTTACTTGAAAACAACAATAACCCAATCAATATATGAGCGTTAAATATCGCTAAGTCGAACGCAATTGAGTAAACTATAAATGACCCTCAACTTAGTTTTCACAAGCCAATCGGTTATGTATTTTCTTTTCGATTTCTTTTTCTTCTACATAGCCGAATAACGAAAGCATATTCAATTTTTTAAACCCTTTGTAACAATAAGAATCGTACTTTGAGGATCTTAAAAACTGCATATATTCTTGATTAGCGTTAGATTCCGATCGTGTCCACCTGTCCATCGCCTGTGCTTGAAACTTTTACTGTCGATAAAAGAAAAAATTATACAATGATTCAAGCTTGATAGCAATATTTCACTAGTTCTCTCTTTTCACTTGAGGTTGTGACTAGCGAAGATCCGATTCGAATACAATACAAGTTGCTTTTTATTTTTGCCTTTTTATATATATATTTTTTTAAAAATGAAATTATACCAACAACACAATTGAGATTATACTTAAAGCATACAAAGTACATAGATAAGTGTGACTGCTATTCGCGGCATTGTCGTAACTTTGTTTGCAAGGATGCATACATGAATTCATAACTATTTCGCTTTGATTTTAAAGCCATTTAAATTTTGTTATGTTTAGAAATTTGTTATGTTCGTTATTTGAGAAGAAATTTTCTTTACATAAATTTATCGTTATATTAAGATAAGACGAGACCAACAACGCGCGTCGTGCTAGTGACAGCATCCGCGATATTTACATTACGAGTTCCCGGCTCAAGTTGAAAAGTTCTCTTGAACGAACGGTGAAGAAAGAGAAAAAAAAAATGTAACGACAAAAATGTTATACGTGATCGTGAACAAATTAAAAATATTCATCCAATTAATACGTAGTTTTTATTAAAGAAAGGTAAACAAAAAAGGGAAAGTAAATTGTAAAAAAAAAAAAAAAAAAAATTTAAAATCAAATAGTTGTATGGACTGAAGATAAAATTTCATTACAAGAAAAAGAAGGTCATTTAAAAATGAAAAACTGTATCCGCATCAAATCGGCCAAAAGTAAAATTATTGTATCTACATGTAAGTAAGTGCATGAGTACGTTAAGTTTGATTGGTTCGGATGTATGCAACCTTCAGAGAGATTTGGAAAGACGTACTTGCTATTATACAGAATCGCTTCCTGAATCGATTTGTCCGTCCGTCCGTCTTGTGTTCATATGTTCAATCTACAAATCTAGATTCCCTCTTTTTTTTTTTTTGAATATTTAATGATGGAAAATTCGTATTCAGTCCAAAACTATAATAAAAAATAGTCGACAATAAGAGATTGTGTTTTTAATACGTGGTCCCTTAAGGTTAAATTTGTGGGTGTTTTTCTAATGTTATACATAATTTAGTTTGTAACGATTTTACAATTGTTAATATAATAATTTGATGGAGAAAGAAGATGCAAAAAAATATTTTTATTTAATCTTGGATTAGCTTAAGCTATTAAGCGTTTAGCTATTACAGTAAAACGCTTAGTTATTATAGTAGAAGAAGAAGAAAACAGTACGTCAATTGGCCTTCTCTATCTTTATCTTTGTGTTTACCCTTATCTTTATCCTTATCCTTACCTTACTCCCTGATCTAGCTCTAAAAAGCGCTACAGTCCACAGATTACTACTCAACTCTTAAATGGATGCGAGCGTAAATTCACTGAATAAAACGCATCTATAATTTTGAATTCTCTTAAGCGTGGGTAATTTTTTTTAAACCCTATCTATGAGATTTTCTTTACGCTAGTTTCGTTGAAGTTTTGTGTTAGTTTAACGAGCGTTAACACCTCTCTTTGCAAGAAAAATGAGTGCTTTTTTTTTAGAATCGAATTTCCTTCTGAGCGAAAGATAAGCCCATTTTTTTAAAATAAAAAATGGGGCGTTTTCGCAAATGACCTTAGCGTACGCGTTTGTCACTATCTAGTTTATACTTTAGATGATATCCGCAAATGAAATTTGGAAAGAGCTTAAACTAGGAAAAAAATGTGTGAAATGGTCCAGCAAGCACTACAAAGTACGTCATCAGCTGTCACCAACTGGCCGAAAGAAACAAACCTCAGATCAGTTTTACAAGAAGACGTTTTTCAATTCGACAGATATATGTTTATAAAAAATTTAAGACGCAAGAACAATTTTGAAGGAAACCAATTCAAAACCAAACCGAAGATTAATATATGCATAGTTAGGTGGAAAAGTGGATGCATAAGCTTTAAGGAAAAATTATGAATCGGCTTATTATTCAGATTTCTTGTAAGCGTAAACAACTTAAAATTTTACAATCGGGCAAGGCCTGAACGATTCAGTATTTTTCAATGATGTCGAAAATACTCAAATTATATTGAGTCGAATTTCTATATTGTGTGTGAAATTAATTAATGATGACAACGAGTCCAGTGTTGCCAGTTGACAATTTAAGAAATGGAAACTTTTCTTTCATTGATAACACAAATAAAATTGACATTAGTAAATAAGCGAAAATATAATACTATAGCGCGGCACGGTTCACCGTTAGATAGCTTACACCACTTCGCTGAATACACTCATACATGGTATAATGACTTTTCAAGGTAAGCCGTTGTAAGGAAAGTAGTCGAAGGAGCCCTCTAAGATGGACACAAGAAAGCAAAACAGATAGACAGACAGAAATTTTTCACTTT